AAAATGCAACAAGAAAAAACAGGTAAACACCCCACGTGTTTGCCAAAGCAAGTCCCTTGCCCCTGTGCAAGCATAGAAAAAATGACCACAGACTGTTCTGCGCTTCCTTCTTCTTTCTGCCCTTCCAGCCCTCCTTCCGCCTTCGCCCTCATGCCCAAGCCGGCCCCACACTTCTAAGGGGGCTCCCCAAGCAGCTCAGCCCAGCTCCATGAAGGATCCCAACACGGTGACCTCGGTGAGCCCGGCCCTGGCAAGGGCAGAACAAACTTCATCCCTGGGTTTCCGATTTCGGCGTAAAGAGTGGTTGTTACATATTCTTTCTTTCCCTTCCTCCCTTTCTTTCTTTCCCTCGCTCTTTCCCTTCCTTCCTTTCTTCCTTTTTCTTTCTTTCTTCTTTTTTTCTCTGTTTTTTTATGCTAAGGATGATTGGGACAAACTCTAGTCTAAGAATGATAACTCTTATCTCAGAATTGGTCCCTGGCTTCCGGCACAAAGGAACCCAAACAGAGCCCACACTCCCAACAGAGCAACTCACCCATTCCTCACAGCGCTTCCTCGTGTGTAGCTATTTCTGGTTCTTTCCTGTTGGAAATGATCGCCTGGCTGAGTGGCTGTCAAGGAGGGTCCTGGCATTGCTGTCCACCCATGTACGGGGGTCCCGGAAGGCTCTGGGGAGTGAATGCGCTGCGCGGGGTGCGCGTGTTATTTAGAGACGGTGTTGATGGTACAGTGCTGAACTTATCGTCACCTGCCTGGGACTGTCTTGGTTTTAAAACTGAAAGTTGTGCATCCCTGGAAGCTGTTCAGCCTCACACCGGGACAGCTGGCCACCCTGTTGATTGGCACAGCCCTGGGTAGCCACTGAGAGCCCTGGTCCCCTCACCTCCTTGCCCCTCTGGCATCTCCCTCTAATGGATGCTCTTCCCGTGTGTGGTCACACAGGGCCTCTCCTCTCAGGGCCTCCTGTGTCAGGACTTCCCCACTAACAGAGTCCCCAAGGTCCTGTCACTGGGGGCCTTGGGACATGCCCACTCTCTTTATTAGGGCCTCCTTGTTGTGGAACCTCCCCCTCCCTCCCCCTCCCCCACCCCTACACACACTCACAATCGTGCACACACACACTAACACACACGAATACACATGCACACACTTGTGCACACACTACACATAAATACACACACACACACTCTCCCGCTCACATGCACACAGCCCCTGCCCCGCTGACCTCCCTGCAGCCCCCTCCCTCCACTAAGGAGGAGCTCTGTTAGGTGAAGGAGCTGCCCTCCTCCCCTGTGCTCCTGACCCCAAAAGCCTAGCAGGGTACCTGGCAGCTCGGCACACATCTGTGAAACCGAATAAACCAGCCCTGTGATCCTTGGTTCTCCCCATGCTGGCAAGGACCCCCCACCATCACCTGGAGTCCCTACCAGGAACTCCCCACTCCTCTCTGCCTTCATGGAGCGAAGATGCCATGATGCCCTCGTGCACCAGTCTGTCCGTGGGGACCGCCCCTTCCAGCACATGGTGGAGCAGGATAGGTGCTTCCTGCAACCCTGGGAACTGGCTGCCCAGCCTACACCTGAGGGCTCCCTCTTAGGGCCCTCCTCTCCTCTCCCCCTGCCCCTGCCAGCCCTTCCTCTACTCTTGTTTCTCACTTTTGAACAGCTGGGGGGGGGTTGGTGACCTCCCCAAGGTGTCACCAGGTGGCACTGTGTGGCAGCCCATGGGCCTGGTAGGGGCTGGGTGGGGTCAGCCCCAACCAGTAGCTTGAGGAGGGCAGGCTGGGGGTCCCCGCTGCAGAGGCTGAGAGGGGGGTGATGCACAGCCCTTCATCAGCATGGCCTTAAAAGGACAATATGGGGCACAAAACAAAGATGCCAGAAGCCAGAGGGAGAAGACAAGGAAGAAAGTCACCAATGCACCATTTTGAATTGAAGGCTGTGTGTGGAGTGTGATCCATTTGTTCACGTAGACGAAACGGTCCCCTTCTCATGTAACCAACAAGGGTATTATAATTGTTCGAAATCAGTAAGAGCAGTTGTTTTGCTGGGGCAACTTGTCATTTTGTTGAAAACCAGTGGATTTGCCTATGACCAGACAGATCCCAAATTACCTTCAGGGCTGAGTTTTCATGGGTGTTTGTGCTCATTTATAGAATTTAGAGAGCAAGTTTTTAATCGGGCCACGCGTGTTCATCCCCCTTCCCCTGCTTGCCCGGGACGGGAAACACACGCACGGCGGGGGTCATACCTGGTGAGGTCGTTAGGAACAAAGATGCCCTACTTAGTGCTTCGGGACTCGCGTCCTGGCAGACTGCGAGAGGCAGAAGCAACACATTAAGTTAGCTGACGAAGCTAAACTGGGAAGTGGTGTGATCATCACCACAGACAGATAAAGAACAAAAAGAAACAGTCGGAGCTGCACCGAGTTAACGAAGCATTCCCATGGAAAAATACAAGCCACAGCTGGAGAAGGAGGGACGGGGATGATGGAAATTCAGGAAACGGAGAGATTTGGAAGGCAGCAATGCAAGGGGGCGATTTATGGGGTGAGACCGGATGGGTGTGCAATGTGATATGACAGCTAAATAAGCAAGAGAGGGCCCGGCCCGCCCGGCCCCCGCTGCCTGCTACGCACGGCCCTGCTGCCAGCGGCAGCTGCGGGCCAGACCACAGCCACTCACTGAGCACCTAGGGTGGGTCGGGGACTTAGCACACAGTCAGCCTGTCCCCTAAACACCCTGCAAGGCAGGGGTCACCATCCTCAGACCCAGCAAGGAAACTGAAGCTCAGAGAAGTGAAGTAGTAGCTGGGATCACACAGCCAGAAACTGGCAACTGGAATTTACTCCGTGCTGATCCAGTCCCAAAATCTCTGGCCACACTGAGTAAATGACAATGCAAGGGACAAGGTGACACCTCGCTGTCTAGTGCCAGCAGGAGCACTGCAGTGACCTCTGGCTGTGGGCATTGGAAGGGGCACAAGGACCAGGCAGCAGACGACCTGGCTTCCAATCCCAGTGCTGCCCTGCACTGGCTGTGTGACCCTAAGAGTGCCACATAACCTCTCTGTGCCATAGTCCCTTCAACTACAAAATGGGGAAAATAACCGTGCTGGGATGTTTTGACAATTAAGTGGACGTCAGTGTCAGCTCTCTGCAAATTGCTTGGCTCACTAAATATTAGACGTGGTCCTGTCACTGGCATTGACAGCCAACCTGTCAACTGCTGGTCGTTTAGCTGTTTTGATTCTACTCATTCTTCACAACCAGCCAAGTCTACCTCCTGCATTTGAAATATTTGTAATGTTAAAGCCTGCTTAGCAGAAACATGACGGGAGTGTCAGGAATGAGTGGTTGGTCTGCAATGAATGGCGGGGGTTGCATTCAACGGGCTGCATCCTCGTTAGGATTCACAGAACCCTCAAGCCCTTTGGTTTGCAACAAGTGAGCATGTGAGTCTAAGAGAATTTGGTTCTGAAGGAACGGAGGGTGACGGGAAGCGATGGTTCTGGAACCCATCCCAAATGAAGAGTGGTTGAGGGAAATGAGGACCTGCAGGGCCTGGCCAAGGAGCGTGGGCGCTGTCCCGGATGCCTGCATGAAGGAAGACGAAGAGGCTGACCGCCCTGAGTTTTCCCGAGGTGGACTAGGAGGGAGGAAGGCCAGGTGGCTGCACGGTGGCAGGGCGCTGGCAGGTAGCGAGGGGACCCCTCTGGGCCTCAGCTGCTTTGCTGGTGAAGCGATTAGCCAGATACTATGTTTTCTGGCAGCAATTCGCCCACATCGGCTGGGTATCCTACAGGTCAAGCCAACTCTGACACGGATACCTGGAGCTGGAGCGGGCCTCTCGGGTCAAGGTGCTCAGTCCTGCGAGACGGGGCCCCCACTTCAAATGCCAGCTGCAAGTTCTGGGTCCCCAGGCCACCGGCACTGGTGTTGGATTGGGCTACAAATTCGAGGCTTCTCACGACCCCACTTTAGGTTCGATAACTCGCAAGAGTGAATCACAGAACTCAGGAAAGCACTATACTTATGATTGCAGTTTTATTATAAAAGATGCCGCTTAGGAACAGCCAAGTAGCAAATATGCACACAGTGTGGGAGGGGAGGGCGCAGAGCCTCCAGGCCCCAGAAGCTCCTGACCCAGGTGCCCCGTGGGCTTTGCGTGGATCTCACGCTGTAGGCACCAGTGAGTAAATCGTGGTCACGTGATTGAACCCAGTCTCCAGTGCCTCTTCCCTCCCCTGGGTTGGTTCCTCTGGTGACCAGCCCGACCCTGAAGCTACCTGGTCCCCCAAGCCCACCCCACAACTCATCTCATCAGCATGAACTCAGGTGTGGGAGAAAGGGGCTTCCTAAGAATAACCAAAGACACTCCCACCACTCAGGAAATTCCCTGGGTTTTAGGAGCTCTAGGTCAGGAACCTGGGATAAAGATCAAATACATTTTTATTACACCACATATACACTTTTTTTTTTTTTGAGACAGAGTCTCGCTTTGTTGCCCAGGCTAGAGTGAGTGCCGTGGCGTCAGCCTAGCTCACAGCAGCCTCAAACTCCTGGGCTCAAGCGATCCTCCTGCCTCAGCCTCCCGAGTAGCTGGGACTACAGGCATGCGCCACCATGCCCGGCTCATTTTTTCTCTATATATTAGGTGGCCAATTAATTTCTTTCTATTTATAGTAGAGACGGGGTCTCGCTCTTGCTCAGGCTGGTTTCGAACTTTAATTTCCCTTCTGTCACTAACGTGCCATATTTAGTGGATCTAAAACCGATGATGAGATACAATTCAGCTCTTCTGAACGAGAGCTCTTGCAGCGTAACATGCTGCTTCCCCAGGTCCGAGCTACCTGGGGTGGCAAGTGAGCCTGCTGAGGTGGGGTGACCCCCATCGGGGAGGCTGAGGAGGAAGTCCCACCCTGAGTGGCAGTTTGGAGCAGACGCCCACTCATCACCATTGTCAAGACGCAGTGTCATGTAACTGCCTTGCTTGATTTCAGAATCGAGGGATGCTTCCGTTTTGGATGAACAGCACCGGCAAGAGGGAAGGCTGGCAGCGTGGGTGGCACGGCTACGACAACGAGCTGATGGACATGCGGGGCATCTTCCTGGCCTTTGGACCTGGTAGGCAAGGACATGACCAAATGCTCTCAGTCCACCATTCCCCAGAAGGCGTCTCTCCTAGGGGCTGGTGGTGCCAGTAGTGGCTGCAGCGACTTCCTCACGCACTGCCTTTCTGGGCAGAGCCCAGCAAACCCGGCCGGGCTCCGGGAAACAGCTTGTGCTGGCTTCCTTTCAAATGCTTCTTGGTTTTGGCAAATATGGCCAAAAACTTTTCCTTGTAAATTTTAAATCCTGAGTGCAGTGAAGAAAATGTATTCCACATGTTGGTGATTCGTTTTTTATTTAATTCATCAAAATGTTATTTCACAGCTATCTGGTGTCCAGGAAAGCTTATTGGACACCAGGCTGCTGACAGCTGTGAGTCTCGAGGTTGATGAGATCAATTCTTGGGGTCTGGCTCTTCCACAGACCTCCCCGCCCACAGCACCCACCCTGTGGGGCTCTTTCAGTTCAGGGCCCAACCAGAAGCTAGGGCAGGCTGAAGGGCAGGCTCGGCAGGCTGAAGGGCAGGCTCGGAAATGACCTTGAGACTGACTTTGAGCCAGGATGACTATGGATGTCTTGGATGAAAGCAAATTTGCTGTGCCCTTTCTTAATCAGACTAATTCCCAGGGCTGGAGGAGAGGGGAGATGGACAGGGTCTATCTGGTCATTTGATTTAACTGATAGAGCATTGTAGGCTCACACTTTGTAAAAATTTACCAAACATTGATACAATCAGTATAATACAATCTGAAGATTGTATTACCACCTAAACATTGCCCTCTTCCAAAAAATAAAAAAGGGAAAAAAGCCGTCAACCACCCGTTGACTGGCTCGGGGGCTACTCTTCCTTCTCGCTACCGTCCACGCTACTTCACTGAGTATCATGTGCCTACCCAGAGCTCTGCATTCCAAATGCCTTCTTATGGATGTTGATCAAATGCTTCAGCCCACACAGTCCACGTTTTCCTTTCAAATTACAGGCTAGACATCACACTCACAAGCTCTGCTTTTCTCTCCCATGCATGTGGCAAGGCCAAAGACATATGTCAACGTGCCTCATTCGGTCTGCCTTGGTTCATTCCACGTACCACAAAAATCACTGTTAGGAACTATGAGGTGTCAGTATCTGCACCCTTCACAGGTGCTTCTGGAAGCCTGAGTTTAGGGAACATAACACCTTGGTCCAAATGCTTTCTCATATGTGATCCAAGTTTCCAAGTCCTGAAGTGAGCATCAGAACCAGTAGCAGCAAACATTTATGCAGTGATAAGTGGGTTCATGACAGTGGCCTAAAAGAGCTGGGAGGATGCCTGAGCATGTTGCCATAGACCAGTAACAGTCACCAGGGAGGGGCAGGTATGCAGAGGCCAAAGCTAAAGGAATTAGAAATGGACAATGTTAAGGTCAATTGCTAGATTAGGTTGGAGACCTTCCAGGGCCGTGGCCTTCTTGTGGGGGAATATCAGGCAACAGGGCTGTCATTCAAAAGCACTGCTCCTCTTTCCCTGGAAGAGGGAAATAAGATCGTGAATGCAAAACAGTTGTCTGTTTGGGGGAACATACATGAGCAAGAGTTTCAGGTATATTTTAAAGCAGAACCAAATCTAGCCCCAAACCCAAATTTTTAAAAAAGTATCCAAAGCCGCATTAACTTAAGTTCAGTGGGGGGAGATTCCTTCCATTAACAGAGACCTTCCTTATATGTTTCTTGAAAACTAAAAGCCCTCAGTCTTTTATAGACGGAAAGATGACCCCCGATGAAAATAACTGGGCTAATTGCAAAATGTTTCCAGGCAGATAGAGCGTTGAGAGCCTCCCGCAAACCATCACGTTTCTGGCTCCAAGTCTCATGAAAGATTAAACAGCTTTATGCACTGACTGTTTACCGAGGAGAGAATGTAAGAGCAAGGCCTTTAATAGCTGTCTAGCTGCACGCTGAGATAAAGGTGCGTGCCTCTTGCTCAGGGAGGCAACCGGCACCATTGCAGCTGCCCAGAGACGGCCTGAGAAATCACTAAGTCTCGTCCAGCAAAGAGAAAGGGAAATTATTCTGGAAGAAAGCCTCTCTCTGGTTAATCCCAGTTTCTAATTTGAACAACCTAATCTTGCCCTGGAGAACTCCACATTCGAGATAAGACAGCAGGGGTGTGATTTAGTGAGCTGCCTAGAGCCAGCAAGCCTCCCTTGGAAAGCAGCCCAAGGCGGCCAGGCATGCGTGGGCTGCACAACCTTCTCTCTTTAGGAGACACGTTTTCAATATTCAAAAAAAAAAAAAAAAAATGTAAACCCATGAGGGTAACTTGGATTCCCAGTGCAGGTTTGCAATGCCATGGGTCCTCCCCAGTTGCTATTCAGGAATTTTCTAGAAGTTTTCAATCCAGCCTGGATCATCTCTGCATGGAGCCCAAAGTCCCATCCCTGCAGAACAGGAAGCCACAAACTAGAGGGGGCGGGAAAGAAAACCCAATTCTCTTCCTGCTTACGTGCACAGAATTGGATTTTATACTTTCAATGTAAAAAGATAATATTTTCTAACACTTTTGTCAGGAGAACTTGATCTCAGTTTTTCCTGCAAAGTGTTAAGAAAGTAGATTTTTGAAAGGCTTCTGATGGGCCACCACCCCAGGTGCCCTCCGATCCCCACACACAACAAGGACGTGGCCACAGTGGTGGCAGTAGGATTGTCACATCCAGGGCACACAGGCAGTCAGAAGGAGAGAGATGAGCTGCTTTGGTGTCATGGGGACAACCTTCCCATTGATCTCCCATGCTGTAGCTGATTCTTCAGGTGGGGAAGTGTAACCACCATCCTCGTCTAATTGTCTAATTTGTCTTCATACTGAGGGGCCAGGACACATGGCAGCCCTCCCTTCTCCTCCCCAGGCAGGGTTTAAGTCATTGTTTAGCCAGTTTTTACTCTGAGGGGATGGGGACCCTTAACTTCCCTGCCTCAAAAGAAAAGTAAACCCCTCCAAATAATTTATAAGGTAAATATATTCCATCCACAGTTTGCTCTTGTCGTGTTTATTGATAATAGCAGCTACCATTTATTGAGCATATACAGTGTGCCTGAAACCATGACTTCCCACGTCCATTTCCTGAGGTCCCCCAGCTAGTAAGTGGGTGCAGGCTGCCAGTCAAGCCCGTACACCTCTTTATATTGAATTCTACTTTAATTCTCCAAAGCGAGCAAACCCTGTCACTTGGGAAGTTGCGTTGGATATAACATACTGTGGAGCACAGTTTTCTGTACGTAACTTTTTTCCAACTTGCCATTCTAGGATAAATACAGGAGCAGGATTTGGTGTCTGGACCTCTGGACTATCTTGCTGCTGTTATCCGTTTGCTTTTTAAATAAAGTATCTGTGATCATTTTAGGAAAGCAATTATAAAAATCATTTTCTAAGACAAAAGACTTGATTTTACAGCCCCCAAACTACTCATTTCCTTTAAAAATCTCAGGTAAACTAAAAGCACATGCATAGGGCTTTATCCCGGATAAAATCTCCTCCCTGAATTCAACCTTAATGGAGCCTTAGGTATTTTCTTGGAAGCTCTGGTTTGGGGCCTAAAAGTGAAGGTGCTTATGTGTATCCCTGAAATCTTATATTTACTCTTTAGATGGACAAGTGCTTTGAATTCAGCATCTTATGTGCCCCTTGTGGAGAAGGGGAAGATTCGCTGCATTAACACTCCTTCGAGAATTAGAGTCACCTTCGGTCCTTAGTACGCTGTGAATGGCCAGCCCTTCCCGTGTGTTCCCCGAGTGCTTGAGTTTGGCCTCTGGCAGAGGCACAGCCCTCTCCTCCGGGGGGTCTCTCAGCCCTTACCTGCACCCCTTACTCCGATACCAGTTTGCTCGCTTTCCACATGGCTAATTCATTCTGCCCGTCGGAGAAAGGCTCCCGAGGAATGTCCCATTGACCTTACAAGCGTTTTTAGGGAACCGTCGCCATTGCTGCTGAGCTAGCCAGTCCCGAGGAAGCTGCGGGTCTCACATCCCCAAAGAGGAGAAACCGATCTTGAGTTGCTGTGGGGTCTCTGCAGTAGAAGTCGGCACCTGGCCATCGGTCCTGGCTAGACAGATGTTCTGGGAGACAAGGGTACCATAATTTGGTTAAGGGGAGGGAGTCTAGCACGACAGTCACTCTGCCGACCAGGCCAGCTACCCAGTGCTCTGCAGACACGGAGCAGCTTCAGACGGCCCTTCCGGTCCCCCCGTGCAGAAAGTGCTGTTGTCACAAAGAGAGCACAGTCGTGCACGAAGGAAGTCTGTTTGCTGACCCATCTTTTAAAGAAGCTCCTCTTTACATAGAAATAGAAAGCTATTTCCCTCCATAAGAGCAGGCAGCCTTCCGTCTCCTCTTCCACGGTTGCAATGCCTGGGCCACACCTCGGTGGGGAAGCCATTTCCCAGGCTCCACAGTCCCCGGGAGCCTGAGTGTAATCCCTCCGCGTTGTGGTCCACCCTCTCCGCCCAGCGCATGGTTATGACAGCTTGTCTGTTTGCCTTTCCATTTCAGATTTCAAATCCAACTTCAGAGCCGCGCCAATCCGATCGGTGGATGTCTACAACGTCATGTGCCACGCGGCGGGCATTGCCCCTCTGCCCAACAACGGGTCCTGGTCCCGGGTGGTGTGCATGCTCAAGGGCCAGGCCAGCACCGCCCCGCCCGGCCCGCCCGGCAGCTACGCCCTGCTCCTGCTCCTGCTCCTGCTCCTACTGTCTGCGTGACTGATCGCGGTCCTTGTCCCAGAGCACTGTCAGCAAAGTGTGCCTCCAAAGTGGGGTGATTTTCATCTTCTGTGTGAACGATAGCTTCATTAACACAATCAAAGCCATACAAATTGTAAATATATTATTCTTGGATGATTCGATACATAAAAGTACCTACTTCTTTAAAAGAAAAAAAAACAACTTTGTTTACCCTGAAGGTAGGAAATATCCTAGCCGTTCATTTGTTCAGCTATACGTAATTTTCTCCTTTCTTTTCATATAGTTCATATAGATTGAACTGTCTGAGCAGGGGCCTGCTCCTGCAGTGACCAAACCCTGAGTGGATACTGGCTGGTCATCCTGGGCCCCTCTTTGTCCTGCCTTGTACAAAGTGGTCCTCAGACTGGGCCCTTATCTGTTCCCTGTCCACACCCAGGAGCCATCTTCGGGGTCTGTGGCCACAATCCTGGACTGTTTCTTCCATCCCAGAAAAGAAGAGCATGAGAGCAAAAGCTACAGTCTGTTTGTCACCCAGATTGCAAAATTTTTTCATCTTTATACAAAGTCCCAGGAAGTATGTATCTTAGCACGAACCACCAATCAACCAGAAAAAGAAAAAGAAAGAAAATATAAGCCACTAAGAACTGAAGAATTCATAGAACACGGTGAAAGATGTGGGTTCCCTCGCTAAGTCTGAATGCACAAACGTTTCTCCCTTGCTTTGAGGAGCAGAAACGCTTCCAACAGATGTGGGCTTCTGTGAGACCCACCCGCATGGTGTCCCGCGGTCTGAAGCGTTCATCAGACTGGTGGGCCGCCTGCCCGTGTGAGCTTCCCCAGACAGTGCCATGCTTTGGCCCCGGATCAGGGTCTAGACCACAGGAACACCGGACACGGCAGTGCAGGCCGGGAAAGGGCGTGTCACCGGCGAGAATATGGCTGTGCCTACTGGCAGGAGCTCAGTTCACTGCATGGAGCAGTCCTGAAGCAGGCTGGCTTAACCATGGCGAAGAGAACCTTCCAGTGACACGCAACTCCTAAAACATGGCAGTGGGCGGGGAACGGGAGCTGAGCCCCAGCCCTAACCAACTGACCAGCCACTTGATTAGGAAACAGTTTGGGCAAAATGCCACCTCAGTTCTTTAGAAACCCCTGAGAAGAACCACTGAGCCTGACTTGAAATAGCTTAGTTGAGTCGCCTAAGTTTGCTGTAGGAGAACTTGTGAAACAAGGGATAAGGGCATTTTCACATGATGAGTCGTTTACACACACACACACACACACACACACACACACACACACACACATTCCCTATTATTGCATTAAAAACGAGTCTGCCCTAAATGAGGCGCACCTACAAGTACAAGAGAGACTTTTTGTCAGCAAAAGGCAACATACCAGGTCTTCTCTGGATGATGCAGCCCTCATACGGTGTTTTACCCTGAAAAATGAATCTCGACACTCAGCCAGGTTCAGGAAGGCTGGGAGCCGACTCCGTGCCTTGAGTCGTGAGAGCAAAGGATCACTGCTTACAAATACTGAATTTGCCTTCACAAAAGATTTCTAAGGATTTACGTAATGTGTTTTTAAAGCTCCGGCAAACCATCGAATCCACTGGAAAGAAGGCAAACCGGCCTTTGTTATCTGGCTGAAAGCAAATCAGTACTTTCCAAACATGGGTAGTAGTTTTTGCAAAAGAAACCTATTGTTCAAAGTTTCTTTCTCCTTAGAGGACAGTGTCCCGGTGAATTCGGCCAGGCCCACTTTCCTGTCTTATGAAGGAAGGATCCCTAAGAGATATCCACGTGATTAAATTAAAATCAGATCATCAAAATGGAGAGGAGGCTAATATGTGCACAGTCTTCTTCTTTCTTTCGTTCATTCCTTTTTTTAACCACTTCGGTACCAGCGTCGACTGTAGTCGACAGCCACAGATGAACGCGCACAGCGACTTTAGCCGACAGCCGTGATATGACTTTTCCAATTTTTCATTTATCAAAATAAAATTGTGAACATTTAAAAATAACGTAATGAAAACATATATGTAGATGTCACCTGTTCTGATTTACATTACAAGCAAAGCTGCCTGTAAAGTAAAACAAGCTTTCAGTGCTTTCAAGCTTTCCTCAACACACAAGAGCAAAACGGATGCGTCCTCAATGCACAGCACAGACTACCGTGCGGACTGTGAGTGCCGGCTGTGGGCGAGGTTTGGCGGCCAGTGAGCGCCGTACACAAGTGGTTAAAGACAGAGTCTTGCTCTGTCGTCCAGGCTAGTGTGCAATGGCATGATCACAGCTCACTGCAGCCTCAACTCCTGGGCTCCAGCAATCCTCCTGCTTCAGCCTCCTGAGTAGCTGCGACTATAGGCATACACCACAATATTTTTTGCAGAGATGGGGTCTTGCTATGTCACCCAGGCTGATCTCAAACTCTTGGCCTGAAGCAATCCTCCTGCATCAGCCTCCAAAAATGTTGGCACTGCAGGTGTGAGCCACTACACCCAGCCTTGCACAGTCTGGCATTTGTCTTTCTTGCTCTCCTGCCATTTTCCTCCTTCACTCATCCTGAAAAATCTGCAATTTACATAATAAATTTCACATATTTGTCTGAAAAAGTGTAATTGTTCAATAAATAATGTTAAATAAATGAATGAGAATAAGACACAAAAGAAATCATGAATACTGGTAAATAATAAAGAAAAGTCAGACACTGGGTGGAAACAAAACCTTTTTGCCTAAAATAATGGATACATTTTGATGACTCAATTATTTGGTTCAAATATTTTCCCTTTTATTTTTGTTTTAAAGTTACATTGTTCTCCCCAGGAAAATTATACTTTCTCTGAATGTGTTTTGTTCTGTAGGAGCAAATTGTACTAGGAATACGTGTAGACACCTTTTCTCCTGGATTGTTTTATGACTTCACTCCTAATTCCGGGAAGAAAATAATTGGGTTGGCCTACCACACATAAATGAAAGGAACAACCTGAAATCAAAGATGAGATGAAGGCTGCTTTCCCTACCTGTGTGCCTAACCTCCAGAACCCAATTCAATTGCATCTGAAGACCTAGCATAACTAAATTAGCATAGGTTCAGGGACTTCTTTTTAGTCTAGAAGAGTCTTGAATTATAAAGTCCCAGTTCCCTTTACTTTTAAAGGGACCTTAGAAATCCACATCAGATCTGAGTCAGTCACAGAAGAGAGTTTGCAAACTTTCTGGGCTCTTAAGCGTCATCTGACTCAGCTCCAGAGATGCAGGTTCAGGGGATCTGGGATGGGGCCTCAGACAACAACTTCAAGTCATACTGATCTAAGGTTTGGGTTTGCTTCCAGGAGAGGTGACCTGAGTCTCCTTGAGAGCTATTTCATAATCAGCAGGTTTCTCCAAAGGTCATTAGGCTGACATCGGGCACTAACCTCAGCAGAGCCAAGCTTCCAGGCTTCCTAAACCAAAGTAGGTCTGCAAGCCCTCTTGGTGGAGCAAGAATCCCAAAAAGGAAAACTTGGCTTCTTCACCACCCACGCCTTGTGGCTCTAAGATTCCCAGCGGTGCTATCAGACAAACTCAGACATTGGTCAAGACACACAACTATTTTATGAATTTTCTAAGAAAGTGCTTTGCATTTCTGTAAATATCAAGAGATTTCCAAATGTGATTGTGTGTTTTATCTTTGTAAGCAATTTGTGATAAACCAAAGTCAGCTACTGCAAACTACTGGCTAGAAGAAAGGGAGGAGGTAGCTTTGACAGACGAGGTATAAAGCGTTTGAAACTTGGTCTCAGGTTTGTGCTATGGAAAAGGTACTCATGTGTTGCTTTGAAATCACCAAATAGCACCTTGTACAGTGCCTCAGATGTTTAATAAATGTCCCATAAATATGTGTTGAACGAGAAAAAGAATAAATGTCATTAAGGAGAACTGCTTAAACCTCAGATGTTCTCTCTCTCTGTAGTTTCTCAAATTAAATGAACTTTCTGCTTTGGGTTTGGTATCTTTCCTTGTTACCCCACTGACAATATAATTACACTTTATTTCATGGAGTAAACATGTTCTATCCCAGGCTTATAGATTAGACATGGGGAAGGAAGGAAAGATAGAAGGAAGAAGGTGGCCGGAAGGAGAGAGATTAGATTTTAAATATACTATGCTTATTAACTTTTTAAAACTATAATAGCCTTATTGAGAGTGAATTCACATACCATACTATTCATCTATTTAGTGTATACAATTCAATGGCTTTTAGTATATTCTCATAGTGTGCAACCGTCACACAATCCATTGTAGAACATTTTTATCACCCCAAAAAGAAACTCCATGCCCAGTAGTACACTAGCAGTCACTCCTCATTTCCTTCCAAAACCACCCCAGGCAACCACTAAGCTGCTTTCTGGCTCTACAGATTTGCCTCTTCTTGATATTTCATAAAAATAAAATAACACAATATGTTGTGCTTTGTGGATGGCTCCTTTCACTTAGCATAATGTTTCCAAGTTTATAGCAGGAGTCAGTACTTCATTCCTTTTATTTACAAAGAATATTACATTTTACGGATACACTACATTTTATTCGTCCATCCATTGAAAGACATTTTTTTTCACTTTTTTTTTTATTTCGGCATATTATGGGGGTACAGATTTTAAGGTTTCAATAAATGCCCATTTTTTTCACTTTTTATGATATCATAAATAATGCTGCTCTGACCACCAGTGTATACGTTTTTGTGGACCTGTGTTTTCATTTCTCTTGGGAACACCACTAGGAGTAGAATCACTGGGTCATTTAGTTGGGTTATGTTAAACTTTTGAGGAACTATCAGACTATTTTCCAAATTGGCTGCCCCATTTTGCATTCTTATGAACAGTGTGTGAGAGTTCCAATTTCTCTGCCTCCTTGCCAACACTTTTATTATCTGTCCTTCTTAAATGTAGCCATCCTTGTGAATTCAGAGTGGTATCTCATTGTGGGTGTGTTTGCATTTCTCTAATCATCACTCATGTTGAACATCTTTTTGTGTGCCTAATGGTCATCCACCTATCTTTGCTGGAGAAAAGTTTATTCATATACTTTCCTCATTTTTAATTGGGTTATTTATCTTCTTATTATTGAGTTGTAAGCATTCTTTATATATTGTAAATACAAGTCCTCTATCATATGTGTGATTTGCAAATATTTTTCCCTTTCTGTGGGTTTTTTTTTCACTTTCTTGACGGCATCCTTTGAGACACAAAAACTTTTAATTTTTTATGAAGTCCAACTTATCTTATTTTTTCTTTTGTTAGTTGTGCTTTTTGTGTCATATCTAAGAACGCTTTGCCTAGCCCCAGATTAGGAAGATTTATTCCTCTAATTTTTTTTATGAGTGTTACAGTTTTAACTCTTACATTTAGGTCTATGATCCATTTTGGATTCATTCTTTGTGTTTGATGTGAGGAAGGGACACGCCGTCATTCTTTTCCACGTGGATATCCAGTCGTCCCAGCAGGATCTGTTGCAAAGCATGTTTACATTTTAGATAGGTCTGAAAATGATTCTGTGGATCAAAATACTTATTTTCTTTTCTTTTCAAAAAAAAAAAAAAAAAAGGTCCAGATCACTTAGGAATTTGAATTTCTGTACTTCTGGTTACACCACACTGGATGTGCAACACTTAAAGGAGTGTCCCATAAATTCAAAGAGAAATATCTTCTATAGAAGGCGAACACAACTGCTGTTCTTGAAAATAGCTCACGCCCACGGGAAGCATCCAAGGGCAGAAGATGCCACCAAGGGGAGTCTCTGCCATCTTCTAGCCATGACGGTGTCAAGGCCGTTTCCACCACGACCCCTGTGACAGACAGCCCGTCCAGTGTCCCCCCAGCTTTGCCATGCAAATTCCCCCACCTCTCCTGAAGCATCCAGCAGAACCCCACCAACACCCCAGCCCTTCCTCACCAGCGCCCTGACCAGAGTTCTGCCTCATCCTGGTGCAGTGGTCTCCTGTCGGGTTTCCTTGAGATCCTTAGGGCTCTAGCTCGCTCTCCTCTCTGTCACCTGAAGAAGGACTTTGCATTTAAAATGCAAGTCAGATCAGGCCATTCCTAGGCGCCAGACCTTTCAGTGACTTTCTGTTGTCTTAACTGAACACTTTTAGCATGGTCCGCCAGCACTGGCATGAATCTGTCAGCCTGTTGAATGCGTGAATGACTATGCATTTTTACTTGCATTTTATTGCATTTTCTTCCCATTTTCATTCACCACCACCCCCTCCAGCTCCATTGTTTAAAGTCTATGCTTCACCATTTTAGTCTAACCG